CCCCCCCGCGGCTATGGAAATTGCCGCTCGCGTCGCCGCCCTAGCTCGCCTCGATCTCCCCTTCTACGAGTACGCCGGGGAGTTCTGCAAGCTCGCTGAGGTTACGGCGTTAGGGGACGCCGTCCTCAATCAGCTGTTCTGGCTCGGGGCCAACCGAGTCCCCTGCTCCGCCATGGCCTCCCGAGGCTCCTGATCCGCCATGGCACCCCGAACGGGGACCGCTCTGGAGGCCCACTGTCCGTGTCTGTCCTGAGGGACCTCCAGAGTGCCCACCCCCCCCTCCCCATTGGATGTTATATGGCATGAGGACACGCCTTCCGGAGGGGGGCGTTATGTCAGACTCTGTTCCATGTTTTGTGTGTGTCCTGCTCCCCATGTGCCTTCCCATGCCCTTATTTGGTTAGTTTCCTGTTCCTCCCCTGATTAGTTAAGTTCATTTGTCCCAGGTGTTTCCCTTGATGTTTCATTGCTCCCAGGTGTGTCTCGTCATCCCCTCCTGTGTGTATAAAAAGTGTTCCCAGTCCCAAGTTCTCTGTCCGCTGTTAAACGTCTTCCTGAGTTCGTCTCCCTTGGTTCCTGAAAATAAAGTCTTGGTAAAGTATTCTCCAGCGTCTCCTCGTTCCTCGTGTGTGTGCATCGTGACACCAGCACTCTGCAGCAGAATTTAAATAAGCTATCTGGCATTTGCTGGATTGGTTCAGTGTCTCCGTCTTGTCTCCTTCATTCCTGGGGCAAAGTAAACTTAAAGTCAGAACACACACATTCAGTATGTACCTTTCCAACAATCCCTCACAGCTGGCAGAATAGAGCATTGATGCAACACAGCGGAGAATCAGAACACGACAGGGAAGGGGAGCAAATGGCAGACAGGTGTTGATATAATGGATAGCAATCTGGTGCATATATGTGAGACCTGGCAGAAGAAACAAAAAATATAGAGATATGCCAATGGAACCTTGTGCTTATGTTCAGAGGTGTGGAAAAAGATACAGGACACTGCTGTATTAATGCAATACAGATGAAACAATATTTACCTTGCTTTCCGGTTGCAGTCAGACCTGATTAGGATCAAGACTGAAGAAGGCTCCTTCCAAGGTCCAAGTAAACAACAGGCTTTGAAGAGAAAGCGCCTTTTGGAGGCTTAAGAATCAGTTCAGCTTGTGTTTTCCATCATCCAAACCAAAACATATAAATCCAAAAGCTGGTTATTACATTTCCCAGACATACGTGTACACAATTTTGGTTAATTGTACAACCTGAATAGAGATTAATATTAAACAACTGACAGCTCTGCATAGATGCAAAAAAAAAAAAAAAAAAAAAGATGACAGGATGTGTAGAAGGAATTTTTATAAGGAACTGGCAATTCTTAATTAACTGGTGCAAAACAATTATGAGAAACTCAGGTAAGGATCAAGGTATGCCACACTCAATTGAGTGATAACTGTAGGTGCATTAAAAATTTGTTAGCAACTCTGTAAATGTGATCATTTTATTGATATTGGTTGAGGACAAATTGAATACTTGCAGTGGGGCTCCAGTGAGAAATACTGTATCCCACAATGCAATGCAAAAGTAATATCAACTCTTCTCTCAACTCAACTCACATTAAAATGCAAAATAGTCTTAAAGAAGACATCGGATGCATCATATTGCTCAAGCCCCACCCACGACCGCTGACGGACTGTCCCGTATAACCATATTTCAGCCCTTAGTCAGTTGTACACTGTCCGCAATTTTCTCTGCGCACGAACAGCTGTAGCGACAACAATGTCTCGTAAGCAATGCAGGTGTTTTGTAGTTGGATGTAAAAGTGAACATGAGTCTTCATTTTCTCCCGACATCAGAAATACTGGATTCATTTTGTTTTTGATGGTAATGCGCCACCGAATACACCTAAATTAGTTTATGTCTGCGCAAATCATTTTCTGCTTTCTGAACGAAGGACAATTCAAGGCAGGTTTTGCTAAAAAAGCTCAAACTCAAGGATGGCTCAGTACCCACTGTTTGTGATCCAGCTGCACCTCCAGAAGAAGCAAGTCTCACACTTTATATTTTTTATGATTATTTGCAAATCACCTTTCCTCTTCCACGGAAGAGAGGGGTGGGGTGAGCAGAGCTCATCAGCATTTAAAGAGACATACACCAAAACGGATCGCTGTGAACAGGTTTTTGACAAGGTAAAAAGGGTGGTGTTTTACACGACCATTGAGGAATTTTAACCAAAGTGTGTTACAGACATTTCATGAAGACCCTAAAGAATCATACCAACTTGTGGAAAATGGGCATCCAATGTCCCCTTTAAAAACAGGGTGAGCGGTCTACAGTTTATGTATTATGCTAGTATCCCATTCCAAACATAGCCATTTTTTTTCCAAAAAGGTTTCTGAAAGACTCCATCACCCTTTTCATCCTGTATTCCATTCACCAAACTCCAAAGTTTGAGTTGCTGAAATGTTGTATTGCTCAAACAGACAGGACAATGTTTTGAAAGAGCTGCAAAACCACAGTATTTCAAGCTGTTCAGGAATACACCCTAAAACGGCTTACTTCTAGTTGTCTCTGTTCATTAAACCATGATAGGATAAAGTGTTTTAACATAAAAAAAAATGCCACACTTCATCTTTAAGAGATTAGCAATGTACAATGGCACGACTGACTTATCTCTGCACTTTTAAGTGGAACAACTTGCTCGGCAAAAAAGAGCAACACACAAAAAGAGTGTGACAAACTTTTTAAACCCTTAAGGCTACAATCTCTCCTAGCAGAGCTGTGAAACACAGACAAGCAGTGGGCAGCGAGATTCTGAACCGTCACAGCAGTGGGAGGCACCCCAGAGCATTAGTCCAGCAACAGTACAGACAGTCTCTCTGGGGGTATGTCAAATAAATAGAATGTTAAAATAATTCATGATACATTAGGCAAACAATACAAGTATGACGTACTGCGTCTGCTGAGATTCTGAAGTGTGCAAACAGTGAACCCTTCTGCTGTCTCATAATGCCAAGGGAGCGGAGAAGAAACAGATTTAGAAAGTTGGTAGAGAACGGTGGGTTGGGTAGTAATTTTCAAGTGTTTAAGAGCTACCAAGAATGTTGTTCCTTGTGGTTAAAATGAACTTTTTTTTAATAGGGAAGCACAATAAATTGTCACGATGTTGCTTATCAGCCAATATTAGAGATTCACTTCATTTATTTTGTATCCATTGATATTGGATATCTAACTTTGCATACCATTTTGCCCTGTTTTTTAATTATTGTAGCCTTTAAAACATCTGATTTAATTTTTTAAGGTTCTATTTTTTTATTTATTTAGATAAAATAATATAGAATTTTAATATTTACTACAATTTATTCAGATTTACTGCTACTTGGCAAGATTCTGCATTTAAAATCCAGTTATTTCATAGGAATCTGCAAATCAGGAGTTTCGAGTGAAGGTGAAAATTTTCCCAATGTAGATTTTGCAAGTAAATTTGTCACATTGACCAACAGAAAGTTGCTTGGTCTAAAGGTCACCTCTATGTGAGTAGTGCTTCATGCATTGCTACACTATAGACAGTGGACAATCAGGCGTTTTTTACCCGTGAAATTTCACTAATGTGGCTGCACCTTTAGCAGTCATAACAGAAAACACCAGTATTGGCCAGAATTTTAAAACTGTATTCCTATTGTTTAAAAATTTTCACGATTTTTTTAGTACTATTATTTTCACAATTTTTTTAGTACTTCACATCAAGAATATATGTGACAATGCCAATTTGGAGCTGACACATCTGGATCACTAACAAACAAACTTCACCAATAAGGAAGTAAGTAAGTTCAGTACATACTCTGAAAATACGACAATTCATCTGTCTCTCTCTACCTCTGCTTCTGTCCCTGACACACACACACACACACACACACACACACACACACACACACCATGCTGAGCAACTGGTCTCTGATGGGCAGGGGAGAGCTGATTATGGATTCACTTTGCAGCGGGAGCCGCCCTGACGCTGGGGATTTGATTAGGGCTTTGACAGGTGCCAGTGCGATTGCAGCCTTAATCTGAGGAGTGATCTGCTTAGATAATGTGCAAAGAGCAAGAAAGAGACAGAGGTGGCAGGAAACGGGGGAGGCAGGTAGTAGAGATGCACTGAACAGCCTTGTGACTGCAGAGCTTTACTTTTGATGTACTCACTAAATCTAAATCATATCACACACAGTGTGCTATCATAAGAGTGATACTTCATCTGGTGGATCTTAAATCCTGAGAAAGAGACTGAAAACAAGTGCCTCTCACACTGCAGAATCTTTAAAGCTTTTGAAGAATGGTTGAAATGCTCAGTTATTGTATAATAATGAGGAGAATGTAATGATGCCTTTGACTCCCACTGCCATCTTCTATTCTCTCACATGTACAGAGAATCTCCCTACAGGCTGCCGCAGCGTGTACCAGGTTCCTCTTTCCATACAGGAGATCACAGCAGAATTCTCTTATCTCTTTTCACCTGCTGTCAGGAATGGGGCTTTTCTCAGTCAATCACAAATGGAAAAGAGTTGGGCGGTATGACCAAAATCTTAAGGATGAGTAATTTTATATCTTGTTAACTTTATATTTAAGCAATGTCCCACAAGCAAGTGCTGGTGTACTTAATATCTCCTTAATATTACTTTTATGCAACTATACAGGAGCAGATATCGAGTGACGCACATTTCAGACAAAAGCTGGCCTGTTCTCCACCAACACAAACAGTTCCAAAAAAAGCAAGTGAAGTATCAAGCTTTGCACATTGGCAAGCAACATTCAGACTGGAATACAATATGTGAGTGGAATGGAGTGACAGTAATTTTCCCTCCCGGCTCAAATCATTCTGTAATCACTCCACTTTACCTCCGCTCCGGGTTGCACCTTTCCAAGCAAATCTGAAGCCAGAGAAAATTCAGATACTGTAACTTTCGAAAATATCTAAATAAATGCATAAAAATCACAAGCAAAATCAAAATCACTGTTCACATACACTGGTAAGAACACAGAGGACACATTCAAGCTGAGTCATGTGTACAGCGGCCTTGGAACAACACTTGACTAATCAAGGGTCAGAAGGTCGGAGGGCCAGAACCGCAGTATAAATCACAATAGAGATGTTTAATTTACAGCCAGTTTTTATACTGTATGGTGCATAACAAATATATTTTTGGATAATCCATAATTAAATATTTTACTAGTGGAAGATTTTCATCTCATTAGATAGATGTTGTTCATTTGAACTTTCTATTCATCAAAGTATTCTCAAAAAAAAATAATCAGTATTTCCTCAAACATATTAAGCAGCTCAAATATTTTCAAAGTTGATAATAATAAGAAATGTTTCTTGAGCATATATTCTATATATATATATATATATATATATATATATACATCAGCTCCACAGTACAGCCTAGGTGTGTCCCGTTCCTCAGCGTTCTCAACACACGCTCCCCTGACCTCCACCAATGAAGACGAATCCACCCGCGGTACAGTGTCAGGGAATGCGGCAAGGTTTCTCAGGGTAGAAGGGCACTTTTTGTAATAAACTCTCACAGACAGCAGGGCGATACATGCACCCACGTCCTGGAAGGCCAAGTAGAAACCCTTACGAGCTACTGGACCCACTTCCCGCACTTCGGTATTCAGCCTCAGAACACGGTCGCCCAGGTCTGTCTGTGTGAAACTCTCATCGGCAGCAATAGTATCGATTTTGGCGTAGTCGTTGGGATGAAAATGAGCATTGGCACCATGCGGCTCATCTGTCTCAAAGTAGAGGAGGTTAAAAGTCTCCTTACAAGTGCCAGAGACCCAGGGAATGCTGTTGCAGTCCCGCAGGGTGAAGCGAAGCTCCACATAGATCTTCTGTGCAGCCTGACGGGGTATCCAGTTTGTACGAAGCCAGTTGTTCTGGTTGGGTTCCATTACGTGGCACACCTGGAAGGTGTGGATGGGACGGTTATGCTCATCCATCTCCGTGATGGCATCCCACTGTGGAGAGCAAAGGACAGATATATGAGAAGATAGATAGTGGGATAATTGGAGAAAGCAAAATTCATTTATTTTTTTATTTTTTTTGCTGTGTAAAATTCATATAATATACATTAAATGGTTATTTATACACATGAATATACAATACTATAAAGTACACTACACTACCGTTCAAAAGTTTGGGGTTGGTAAAAAAAGATTTTCCGGATTTCCGTGTTTTCATCATTATACGGTAAGGGGCCCTATTACACATCTTCTGAAAGACTACAGAATCTCAGGATCAAAACACAGGCAAAAAAGAAGCAGAAACAAGGTGTGTAAAATAACATGATCATTAAACATTAAACTATGGTGGCCGAGAAGTGCAAAACAAATCACAATTCTGAAAACAAAATAACAAATTACAAACGCAAATGCAAGTCTAAAAAACAAAATAACAAGTCAGAAAACACGACAAACCGGAAAAGGTAGGTATAGTTTGAGACAGCGCCATTGGTTTGGGATTACTCACCGCTGACTGGACGAGGCATCTGTCAATCAAGGTATACAGGAAGAACCAGCCGAAGAACAGCAGAGTCGTGGTAGAAAGTTCGGACTCGGAGGTCGTATTAAAGTAGCTCAGTTTAAATGTATTGTATGAATTGCACTTACTATGGAATAAAAAATACGGGGTGTCTATTTACATTTAGTTAAAAGTGGCTGTAAATTATCAGCTTCAGTGGTGTAGATGGATAAGCGCGTGTCATTAGCTTTTTGACGCGTTTGACCCGGGTTCGATCCCGTCTTTTGCCGAACTTTTTTTCCCTCCCTGTATTGAGTGTAAATTATAATTTTAATTTTAATTATTAAATGGATGCCACCTTATTGGTACAATAAAGCCCTCCCTACACCTACCCTAATACTTTACGATACTTTATTTTCAACTTTTTGATTATTTCCAATTTTTATTGAAAATAAATGCCTTTACGATGTGATACGAGATTTGTTTTCGGATTTGTCGTTGTGTTTTCTGACTTGTTATTTTGTTTTCGAATTTGTCATTGTGTTTTCTGACTTGTTATAATGTTTTCTGAATTGTTGTTGTGCTTTCTGAATTGTTATTTAGTTTTTTAAACTTGTATTTGCGTTTGTAATTTGTTATTTTGTTTTCAGAATTGTGATTTGTTTAGCACTTCTCGGCCACCGTATTAAACAGCATATAAATCAAAACTGCCTAATGTTACTGAATAAAATGTCGATGAAGTGTTACAGGACTGTGCAAGCTTTGGGATGTTGATGGAAGTGATCTACTCCATCTATGTATGCTTTGATAATTGATTTGAATCTGATCTGGACGTAGTCTTTGACAAAAACATGATTTTTTTTCAGCTTTTTGTTCAAAATCTTGCTTTTATTTTTATGAAAATTACCCACAATCAAGTGTTGATAAAAAAATAAAAATAAAAAATCTTTCTTTTGACATATTGCATGTACAGATATTCATACGAAATATTTTGGAGGCTATGAAAATTTTGATTGAAAATGCTGGCGGTGGCTGGCAAAAAAAAAATGCTGGCAGGGAAAGTTATAGAAGTCTCTTATATAAAGAAGTCTCATTTATTTGACCAAAAATACAGTAAAACAGTAATATTGTGAACTATCACTATGATTTAAAATAACTGTTTTCTATTTGAATATATGTTTAAATGTAATTTATTTCAGCAAAGCTGAAATTTCTGCAGCCATCACTCCAGTCTTAAGTGTCACATGATTCTTCAGGAATCGTTCTATGATGTTGATTTGCTGCTCAAAAAAGAAAAAAACATTTCTTCTTAGCAACGTTGAAAACAGCTGTGCAGATTAATATTCTTATGGAAAATTATTTTTCAATTTAGAATGAATTTTAGTATGAAAATAATTGATAAATTATGATTCAGTGAAAATGTTCATATACAGATTTCGCACAAATCTGTGCGCAGAGCTGGGTAGTAACTGATTACATGTAAGTAATTATGGATTACATAATCAGATTCCAAAAATTAAGTACTTGTAATTATATTAAATTACATTCTAAAAAACTCGTAATCAGACTAGTTACTTTTTTATTGCTTACATATTCTTTACACAACAACAATAAATTATTAATAATTTATTGATTATCACTAATTCCTTTTTTTCATCTTTTAAATGTTCCTTTCTAAAATAGGCTACTGCTTATATACTCTCAGAAAATCTTCCAGTTTTGTGGACATTCACACAAAGAACAGTCATAAGTCAGGTGGCCACACAGCATTTGACCACTGGATTTCCAAAAAAAACATTTCAGGTTTAAGAAAGTGTTTAAACATTGCATCAACCACTGAACACATACATTTTTATTTGAATTATGGTGGGTTATTTAACCATGTATTACTATGTCTTTGGAAGGCTTTTGTCTTCCAAACATATTAAAATGCACAAATTCATGTTATCTCTTAATGCAGGGATTCCCAAACTTTTTTGTCTTCTGAACCTCTTTCACCTAATATATTTACGTACTTGAAGTACCCCTGAGATTTTAAAATAAATATTTTAATAATTAAGTATCACATTTGCATGTTCACGGTTCTCTGACGTTGGTTAATGGTCACATGGCATGCAGGTAAACAAATACAATATTTCATTTTTTTAGTTAGTATTTTTTTAAAATTGATGTTATATTAAAATAATTTATTTTACTTTTACATTTTATGATTTAATCAATTATTAGCTTTTCATTAAACTCATGAACCCCTTGCAGTTCCTTTATGAACCCCCGTTTGGGAAACCTTGGCATCATATAATGTGTAATGCACTCCATGTTAATTACAACAAATAAAAATATTTTCTTACTCTTTGTATTTTTATGTCAATATGGTACAATATTATGCTATTTGAATCAATGTGATAAACGAGTTCAGTCAAAAGTAATCTAAAATTAATCAAAAAGTAGTCTGATTATATTACACACAATGTGTAATGTAATGGATTACATTACTAACTACATTTGGAGAGTTCATTTGCAAAAACAGATAACTCTGTTTTTATACATTTTCATATATTTTTTATTATTATTGTGCATTCCAAGTAATATCAATCAAACTGTAGTTGGGTTGTTTTTATAAAGTAACAATAACTAAAAAATAAAACAAAAAAAGGTAACTTACAAAATTAAAGTTCATTGAAAGTATATTTTTTTATATATTAAAAGTTTGTTTTTTAGCAAAAGTAGATAACTCCAACTGTCGTTTTTTGGCAAAAGCAGATAACACTCGGTTAATCTTTGTAATCTCCTCAGCTGACAATGTAGACGCCTAACAAACTTTGTTGTTGTGATTGCACGCAATACAGGGAGCTTTTCCCTCACCACTGTAACGTGCTGCTTTAGTTCCGTGAAAAAGTTTCCGGTTTTATTTTCCTTTTACACGCAGAAGAAGATATCACGGGTTCATCAAGTTCGTTGAAATTATCTATCCTCGATCACTTTTAGTCAGCTTTGACGTAACTCCTTTAGACAAAACTCCTCTCGGCTAGCACGTCTTTACGAAGTGACTAGCAGCCTTGTCACCTGACCTGAATACTGCTCGCAGATTTTCTAAAACTGACTTATCGGGTTGCGTACACAAACAACAAGGGTGCTTGTCGGTTTCTGCTGTAAAACGTGAACACACGATGCGTTGACAGTGGACAATACCGGCTTTTGTGACAAAACGTGCATGCTATATGTGGAGAATAATGCACGGCAGTCAGTTTTTTTATTCTTTAAACCATTTATCGGTTTTTGCAAATGAACTCTTCAATTTTTGCCATGTAATTAAATTTTACATTTTTTAAAAGCAGATCGTAAGTGTATTTATTTCTTGTCTCATTAGTGTTTAGCACAGTTGTCGTTGCTAGGAAAAGCTTGTTTGTTTACTGTGTTGAGACGTGCTGAAGTTGCATTTGGTCTCGTACTCTATCGCATACCTTGTCAGTGTCGTGCGCTTGCTTAGACCTTTGTTGTGATAAACAGTAAAGTGTGTTCAAGCACTAGCAAAAGACAGTGTAAAGAAATACTCTTTGAGAGAAGCAGTCAATCAGCAGAAGTTAAAAGCAGATCGTAAGTGTATTTATTTCTTGTCTCATTAGTGTTTAGCGCAGTTGTCATTGCTAGGAAACGCTTGTTTGTTGAGACATGCTAAAGTTGCATTTGGTCTCGTACTCTATCGCATACCTTGTCAGTGTCGTGCGCTTGCTTAGACCTTTGTTGTGATAATTTGGAATCAGTAACACATTACAGTTTGTAAGTAATCTACCCAGCTCTGTCTGTGCGTACACACAATTACTAAATTAGACCCAATGTTTGCCTCTTCTGATAGCAAAATATCACTATCTATTTATTTCACTGTCACATCCAGGCAATGTGAGACTTCTTACTGCCATTTTCAATAGACTTACATAATTTTTTAGGTAGTATCTCTAGACTGTGATGCGCTACCCATATGCTTGGTTATGCTGAGGCTGTGAACACAGTAAGGCATAAGAGCCTAATAGATTTACTAAAGACACAAGCTACAGCTGAATCAAACAGTAATGACAGGACGTCTGGCCATCACACTGCTGCTCTTCTTTGAATGACTTTCTGCATTGTTCTCTCTTTTACAAGTCCTTTTACTCTTTCTAAACACGTTGTATTGCACACATTTGCTTTTCCAAACACCTCCCATATCTTGTTATAACGCTCTCACTCTCTTTTCCACATCTTCTCACTTTCTTTTTCACAAACTCTCACTATGTTCCGGCATTCTTATTTTCCACCCATTCAGTGTCTTTCTCATACATATCTCTTTTGTACTCCCACTTTTTTTTTTTTTACACTTAACTGTTTTCCTCACTATTTCTCCTCTTCTTTCTGTGTCTTCAGCATAAATCTCTTCCTCCAATCATCTGTTTCCTCTTCTTTTCTTTTGTTTCTTATCTCCCTAATCTCTCTCGCTCTGATAATGAATTAAGAAGGATGCACT